AAAGTACCGCGGGAGCGATTCAAAAGCAAAAGGAGCCATCTGCTCTCTATAGCTCTCGCGGTACTTTGATGTCACACACTGATCGGTCTGATGGTGACGATCCGCTACAAGTCGAACAAGCCTAATGATTCAATGGACCATTCATTAAGAACCATTTACTTAGCCATTAGCATGAATCAAATGAATAAATGACTCGATGACTTAATCATTAATATATTTACCACCACCTACTGGCAGTTTTAGTTTATTATTTAGAGTATCATTTCATTAAAGAAATAATTTCATATGTCCATAGTAATAATAATAAAATGAATAAAATAAATTAATTAAGGTATAGTTCACCTTTACACAACAATGACTTTAAATGATCTTTTGGGAGTAATTTTTTGCCAAATTTGATGTGCGATTAATTAGATTAATTAATTGCCACATCATGTAATTAATTAGATTAAAAATTGTAATCGCTTACCAGCCCTAATTAAAATAGAAAACAGTTCTTATAAATTGTAATAATATTTCACAATATTACTGTTTTTACTGTATTAAAATTACATTTTCTGAAAGATTACTTTAAAAAATATTTATTTAGCTATTTATTTTAAACTTTTGAACGATAGTGTATATAGAAGACCTGTAAATTAATAAACACTTTTGCTGGAATTGGAATATAGAGTCGACAAATGATCTCAGAACAAGCTGGCCTGGATAAATAGACTATATACACACCCAATACAACCCATAAGTAATTAACTATTTTTACAACAAATAGTGAAAGTAACATAAATCATGCTTAAACACTTCCTTTGCGAAACAAAAAAAACCCCTTAAAAACAAAATAAAACCCACCTCTTTGGCACGGTTAATGAAGGGTATCTGCGTCCCACTGTTGAGGTCTTCATTAATGATGAGGCGTCGAGCCCACTGGCCTGCCCTCACCACTCCACTGCCCTGGATGAGAACCATGATCTTCTCTGGGTTAGTGAGGGCATCCTCGCTCATGTAAATAAAGCTTTTCGGTTCATCCACAGTCGAATCGACCTGAAGGAATATAAATATTACAATCAGTATCAAACTGAGATGCCAGTCACCAATTACAGCGGGGTACAAGATTACGGCAAATGAAATCTTCAGTTTGGAAATTTCACCCTTATATTATTGAACATACTTAGGGCACAGAGTTCACACTACATTCCAAAATGCTGTGAATTCATAGGCCAGGAGTTAATTAGAAACCTAACATCCATCATCATTTAGTCGAACTTGGCAAACTCTGTGAACCTCGATCTGATTAGAAAGGGTGTTATTGTGTTTTTTGTGCAGCTCCTCAATCCCCTGATGTGTGTCAACAACTATATTTAGTATTATTAAAGTGGGGCAGGACACTCTTAGAAACAGCTGATTGCAGTCAGAGACTGGAATCATTTCTAATGAACGGCGCTCAATGCTGAGCTACACTGCCAGCTGCTGAAAACAGTGCATCTGATGACTTCATTACACTGCATCAAATCCGTCTTGACATTTACATGGTGTATGCTTCCTGTGTGGGCATAAGTTTTGTGGCAAACTCTAAAATGAGCATAAAATAATCTGATTGAAAATAACACAATGCATTTTGTGTCTAAAATGGACTTTGATAAATGGATTAAGCACTAAATGCAGTTGGTCACAGATAGTCTTGCCCATGATACTCTCTGAAAGACAATACAGAGTCCAAGAACATCATTTGGTAAATACTCTCCACAAATAAAACAGCTCATAAAAGCCTGTGCCAGCATTGTTCAGGTGATTTATGGAGAGTAATTTACAGTGCTTTTAAAAGGACATAAATTCTATGACTACCAAGCGCAAACACCAGCTATCAAAAATGATGTGTAGTTTAATGATATGCCTCTTAAAAAGTGTACTAGAAATCATAACATTATTGCTCATATAAATGCAGTGACCACACCTTAGGAATCTCCTTGAGCGTACACAATTTTACCATCAGAACAAATGTAATTTTCTCCTGGAGAGTTGAGAAGTGTTGAAGAATATCATTCTAAAACTTCGTTTTCACGCAATATAGACCATTGTAATCTTATAGGATGCCAAGCACAACTGTATCAGTGTTCACAATAATTCTGTTTAGATTCAAATTGTGGGCATCTAAAGTATTAAGGAGGAAAAAAAGACATTACATACGGGGAGGATCTCCTTCTTCAGGTTGCAGTCGTTTTCCAGGCGTTCATAAACATAATTTGTAATGATCTACAGGAGACAAGAGAGACATCCTTATAACTCTTTCAAACTAACTTGCAAAAATGACCTGCACTTCCATTTGGTTTGAAACTAAAATATACTTTAACTTCGGTTGGGAAAAAAAAAACACTAAAGGGAGTTATTAAAGAATATTGGATGGAGCCTTTTCATATTTCCAGGGTCCTCAGAAGCTGAAGTCATCATAGTTGGGTAAACTAAATGGTGAACAGAATCTACACTGGGGAAAAACAAACAAACAAAATAAATCACTCATAAAATTGCTAGCAAATTTCACAAATAATTACAAAGAACCGGAAAGTAACAGGCTGAATTAACTGCAAAATTTTGAAGTAGAAAAACTGATTTATTTTCTTGTACATCATACTCCAATAATCTTTGTTTTATTTACAAAATAACTAAATAAATAAATAGTAAATAATAATAATAATAATAATTTAGTGTACAACAAATTAAATTTTTTGCATTTCCATTTGCACCAATACCAAAAGAAAAAAATGCTTGATAAGCGTTGTAATGCAACTCAAACTGAACCCATACAGACTCACACACACACACACACAGAGAGACTTGTTTTTATTTATGATTATCAGAGTCAATCGCACTTTGCATATATGCGAAGTACATTCAGTTGCACACTCGAGAGCCGCAGTGAATGAGATAACTGGAACTGTCTGGATTTCACTTGTTCTGCACAGAGAGCAGAGTGTACAGGCGCTGTCAGCCTAAAGCGGGGCAAATCTAGAGTACAAACAGTGTGTTGATGTAAGGTATGTTTATCCCTGCAGCTAAATTACTAAAGAACATGTACACAGTGCAATTTCAACCCCGGGCCAAAAGTTTCATGCTTCAGTGACATCAACAACTTTGAGCGTTTCTTTCTTGTTTTGCTTTAGCTCACGATCTGCAACAGCTGAAACTACAGTGCTTTAAGAGGTGAATAGCAAATGCGCTAACCAAGATGTTTTATGGTGGTTGTGATTTGGCAACAGTCAGCAGAACAGCCCCAATGTAACGAGGCTTATCTTTCAGGGCACGCTCATCCTGTTATGCCAAGTCTGAGGGGACTTTACGGCCCACCCGGGTGGAGGCACTAACAGATGCCCCACTGGAATGAGGCGTGAAGGTGGTGGAGCCGGATCCGTGTCTGACGGCTGAGACTGTCAGCTGTGCTGCTGTCACAAAATGTGTGAGGTGGTCTTGATCTGCAGTCAAACTGAGCTGCTGGGTGTCAGTCAGTGTGATGCACATGGTCTAGACCAGTCGTCCTCAACTGGTGGGTCAAGACCCAAAAATCATTGACAGGTCTGTTCTGATAGAGTTGCAGGCAGAAGGGAAACAAATAATGGAAAACATGATGATAATGAAATGATAATGTGTAACTAATCATATAATTGTGCACAATTAGCTAGGTAAATACACTAGCAAAATGCAAAAGGAGAAAACGCTACCTACATCTTTTATTGTTGACGTCAAAGTTTGCGCTTCTCTCTGCAGAAAGTAACATGGACAAGTTTGCATGGTGCAAATGCCCTTGAAAACCATAAACAAAACTAGGCAAGGAAATATGACTCAGATCACTTACAATGATAGACTGATGGATATTTTTGGTCAGGCTGCTTAACTGTGATTTTTGGCTAGTTTGAGACTATTACATCGTTCTCCTTGGCCGACATAAGTGATAAGTTTCTTGTATGGCCATTCCAAAATATACTGTACTAACAAAAAAATACTCTAATTATAAAGAGTATAAAATAAACTAATGAATTAATTAATTTTGTCTGAATTGTAAGTGCAAATAAGAGTTTATTTCATTTCAGCATTTGTATGTAATTTAATTAATACAATTACATATATATATATATATATATATAT